GAAGGGTCAGGACCATTCCTCTTCACCTCTGCTCTACTCTTCCCTCTCTTGCGCTGTCCTCTCCCTGCCTCTCCTCTTCCCCCCAACCAAAGCAGCGCCGTGGACCAGCAGGGCTGGTGTAAAGCCTCAGAAGCGCGGGAACCCGCCCGGTGCCCCTGGTCTGCTGGAGACGGTCTCCAGCAGACCAGGGGCACCGGAGCAGCTTACCAACGGGGCTTTCTCGCCCTGACTTCCGGGGCGAGAAAGCCCCGTTCGTAAGTGCGGATCCGACATAAGTCGGATCCGCGTAAGTCGGGGACTGCCTGTACTTTTTTTTGTAAGTTGCCTTGCCATATTCCCTGCAGATAATGGATTGTCCTTCCTACTAGACGCACACGGATTGTTTGTAGCTTTGCTATGGTCCATTGTGTAACATCTGTGCTGCAATGGAACTGAAAAGTAGGAGATAAAATACTGTATTCCTTTAAGCCAGGGGTCAGCAACCCCTAGCCGATTTTCACTGGCACTAGAGGTGGGAGCTGAGCCCTGCCCCTCGCCCACCCCATGCAGCGGGGAGCCAGTGCTGCAGCTCCAGCCTCAGCCCTCACTCCTGCAGGCTGGAGGAACAGCTCTGGCTTCTTGCTAGGGCAGGGGACGGGAGAGGTGCCTGCATGCATCGGCCTGGGCGTGCAGCTCCTGGGAGCTAACCGCAGCCCTTGCTTCTGGCTACATGCTCTGCTTCGGGAGAGGGTGGGGCTCAGCCTGCTTTGTGGGGTTGGGCCTGCTCCATTGAGCTGGGACTAGGCAGCCAGCACATGTGGTGCACTGGGGCCTGAGCTGTGCCTCTCCCTACAGGCTGTATGCAGGGGGCCCCTTCCCCAGCAACCTGCTCTGCCTGGCCAGGCTGGAGCTAGCTCTAGGCAGCCCTGGGCTCTGCCTGCCCCAGCATGAGACCCACAGCCTATAGGCAAAGGGCTGGGCCAGGCAGGGAGGAGACTCTCTCTCTTCCCCCATCCCCACCCCCGCCGCTTCCCATCTCAGCACTGCTCCCCGTGGGGCTGCAAGTCCCAGTGTTGCCGTCCTGCTGGTGAGTGCACTGGGGACATAGGGATGTGGGGATTGGAGGGGGGTGAAGGAGATGAGGGGACAGGATGGGAAGGGTCACAGGTTGCACTGAGGGGCATGGGGCGATGCAGGGGATCAGGCTGGGGGGGTATCACGGGCCTGAGGGAAGTTGAGGGTGGGGATACAGTTTTACTGTGCAGAAGATGCACATTCCTTTACTCCCCACTTCTTTGCCTTCCTTCCCTAACTAGCTATTGATTGCATTCTCACCCTTTCACCTTTTCTGTGTTACTGCCCCCAATCACTTCCTGCCCTCAAACTCCCTTTCATACCCCATCCCATACCCTCTCCTGCTGCCAAACTCCCTTCCAAGGCCCTGCCCTTCTTATCCCATTCTGCACCCCACCTCTCACCCAGATCCTGTATCCCACTTGCTAGCAGCCCTGTCCCGCACATTGAGCCCCTCATTTTTGTTCCCACCCCGAAGCCTAAGGGGGTCCACAAAATCCACTAATTTGGGAACCCCAGAAAAGTAAATCTGGCCTATGGGAAGCCCTGAACTTCAGTCTTCCCTAACCCTTTCCCTAACTTCATGGGGCTGGAGTGCCAGAAGAGTGAGGTGTCTCAGTTGGGGGCCACATCAGTGAGGGTTGGAGATTTTGAGAGTTCTTTGCTTCTCACTTGTTTGGCCCCCAACTGATTTTTCTGTGGGCCAGTGACCCCCCCCCCCCCCAAAAAAAAAAGGGTTTCCCACACCTGCCATAAATAAAGAAAACATTGAAACCTTTTGTGTTGGACATGAAGTTTGATCAGCTAACATGAAAAAGTTCAAACACTTAATCTGTTTAATAATTTAATTTTAACCGTTCTCCCCAGCTGCAGCACTAGCAAAATGGCTTGGGCATAATTATGTAAGTAATGGTGAGTTTCCACTAGCAACTGGTAGTCAGCAGAAAGGTTTGCATTGTCCCAGGTGGTCCACGGGGTGTATGGTGGAGAGAGTCCCTCCCCTGCTCCTGGGAGAGTGGCATGGCCCAGGAAAGGAGGGTTAAATCTTGGCACACCACTTCGGAAAGGTTGTGACCCCTGATTTAAGCACTCTGCATGTATTTGAGAGAGTATCTGAAGGACAAAGCTTTCTGGAAAATCCAAGTTCTCCTGAAGCATCTTGGTTCTGCAGATGGAGAAAACTGAAGTGTAGAAGAGAATCTCTGTATTGCTCAAACTTCATATATAAAATTGATAAGAACTGGAACCTCTCAGATAGTTGGAAGAGATGGAATGTTGCTAATGTATCAAGATACGTTTGAATGTTGTTTTAAAAAATGTTTTCCAAATTCTTTTGTTAACCAGACTTACATGAGTTTGTGTGAAACTTCTTTTGCCCTATTATGGGAACAAGAGGGGTTTTGGCTTCCATACTGTACATAAATATTTCATTCACATTATGGAAAATGAAACAGTGGGCAATAAATCTATTTGTATTCAGAATTAAAATATTAAAGAACTTAAACATATGTTCCTTTGTGGAAAAAAGTTTTAAAATCAGTTTGAATATTTGCCATAAAAATATTGGTTTCCAAGTGTTCATTTCCTGCTTTTGCATAACAATTATTACTTTTTCATGACTTTGGTCTTGACATGTTTACTTCCATGAGCAGTCCTTGTACCCTGGTATTGACTGTTTTGAATTAATAGCCACATACAGTAATTTGGTAGCATTATTTCAGTTTACTAATATTCTCCTATAGTAACCATGAAAGCATTGTTCTTAAGGGTTATTATAAAAAGCACAGAATTTATCTTTTAAATACATATTTTCAATAATAGATTCAGATTGATGATAGATACTCAAGAAGAGGAAACTGTAAATGTGGAAAAGTCCCAACCAAACGGAAAGGCACATTTATATTTCTCATGGAGATGTGCATGTTCATGTGCCTGAATATCATGTCCAAGAAATTTTGGGGGAAAAGTTATAGCAGTTTAAATGAAATGTAGTTGCTTGAGATGTCTTTCAATTGTGGGCTTCCAATGGGTAGTGATGGGAAACAGGGTCTACAGGGTAAGCATTAAAATTGGGAATGCCAAATATATGTGCTGTATATGAGCCTTGCTTTAGATTTGTTTAAAAAAAGTAAATATTTTAAAAATGAAGGCAAGTTTTACTGGAAAAAGTATGTAGACGTCAAAAGGGAATTCGGCACACATCAGGAAAAGAAGACACTAGCTTCAATTTTCAGAACATTTGAGGACTCACTAAAATAGAACTTTAAACTTTAAATAAAACTGTAATAGGAGACAGCACTAGGAAATTTGTGCTTATCCAACTTGTCTTTGGGCACTTAAATAGGTGTTGGCAGCACAAAATAGCTTGATTTTTTAAGCACATGTACGTTGTGTGTGGACAGGAGTTGCGGCAGCTGGCACCCCAGGCGGAATGCGTGATTGGCGCCCCCGCCTGCAGGGCTGTCAATGGACTGATGACATCGTTGGGCGCCACGGGTGGCGGCGCCCTAGTCTGCCTATAGCCATGGGACGCTCCGGTGTGTGGATACACCTGCCCACAGTCTGACAACTAAGCATGCACAACTCTTAGAAGGGGGCAGGCTGCCTGATCCTATTTGTGTCGATTGTTGCTGTTCATTGCTTGTAGAGTGTCATTAGGGCAAGTCAAGTTCATTAAACAAGTTTCAGCCCCCAAGAACTTGCAATCTGCAAGGTTCCTGTGGCTAGAAATGGTAAGGCAGTAGTGACTTTATACTTTGCTGCTATTGTATGAATACACTGCATTGACTTGCAAAGTCCTTTTTTATTTTTCTCTCAGATATGAATATGGCAACCCAATATGTCAGGTTGTCACCTCTTGCGAGTTGATGACTTCCACTTGGTACTCTTCTTTCCTTGTTCTTTTTAGTTCAGTTCTGTTTCCATTGATAATGTGTGGACCCCTTCTCCCCTGCCCTTCCCCCCATTCCACTCCAATTTCACTATAAAGGGAAAAATAAATATTAACACTAAACTTTTGAAAACCTATCAATGCATTTTTGTCATCACTTACAGAATATTTTGGATATTATACAACTGTCAAGTATATGGGCTATATTTCAAATATGTAGTTCTAATGAGACTATCTATGCATTTTTTCAGATAAAGCAGACTAAATGAGTATGATTTTGTTTTTCTTTATTCTGTTGAATTGTGTCTGCAAATTGGAGAAGGGGAGTACTTTTAAATATTTTCTTTTAAAAAAAAAAATATAAAAACAAAGCTAACTAGATTTCATCTTGACTCTGGGCCTTCAGCTTTTGCAACAGGGAATGGATGATTCAGGGAATGATAGTAAATGCAGTTTGTCTTGGATAAATCATGGAACTATTAAGACACATCAAGCATTATCTTGATTGTTTTGTCTTTGTTACTTCCCTTTCCCTTCAGTAGTGGTTTTCTGCTTTTTAAATTAGACTTTTTTCAAAGTACAGGGGTTGATTTTCCTTGCATCCTATAAAGCACATCACCTATCTTAGCTGTTAAATAGTACATAATGTTACTTGCAGTTCAAGTTTTTCTGTAAGGGGCTTCGGTCAGTCCTAATAACTAATTCAAGATGGGCCAAATACTAGTTGCAGCAGGCCTTGTTCCCCATTTGAAAATATCCCCAAAAGGAGTGCATTTCTCCAAAGCTCTACACTAATCTGAAGCTAAGCTAAGACTTGTTTATCTACTTGGGCATACTCCTGGAGGGTGTGCACAACTGAGAGCATATTCCAAGTTGGGCATGTGTCTGTTTTGCAGACGATTTGATGCGCTTGTTCTCTTTTTTTTGCCAATATTCAACTTGATGTGAGGTGTCATTTGCTTGATAATTTGGTGTTACATATATTGGTGACAGCATTTCTTTCTGATGTTTATAATTAAACAAAACTGACCGTTTGTTTCTCTCACTTTCTTGTTAGGCTTGGATGATAGCCTACAGCAGTATGTCCCTAAATTTGAACGGGAGAAGATAAATGGTGAACAGCTGTTACAGATTTCCCATCAAGATCTTGAAGAGTTGGGTATCTCACGAATTGGACACCAAGAACTAGTTCTGGAGGCTGTGGATCTTCTCTGTGCACTGGTCAGTTATACAGTGAACATAAAGATGTGTCGTCTTGTATTGCAAATGAAACGGTAGAAAATTGCTTAATTGAGACAAATTCCACATTAATAGTTCTTGCATCTACCCCCCTCCCCCCGTTAATTTCAGTCTTTAAATACAAGTAATTTAATGTTGTTTGAGTGGCATTAAGGCAAAATCACATGGTCCCTGTTACTGTCTATATTGCAGTCAAGCAATGCATTGGTCATAAAAAATGACATTGGAAAATGGTAGATGAATAATTGTTGATACGGATTGGACTAAGCTAGCCACATCTCTGCTCCATGAATTAGCAAAGCTACAGATCTCTACTCTTGTAGATAATCGTAAATAGGCCTTTAAAATGAATTCAGAAATATCTATGGTAGGAGAATAGATCAGGTGGACACAAAAAAATCATGTGCCTGAAATGTCTCCTTCTTGCTGTATGGATTTTAAATGTGGAGCTGCTCTGGAATGAATGCATAAATTGCTGTCTGTATTGATGCTAAAGTATTTCAGATACAGTTTATTTAAAAGCCATGATTTGGGCACACTTTGAGTATGTGTTTGATGTAATGTTATGCACTGGAGCCAGGAATATATACAATTACATCACTGAGAATGGTGGGAAAGAATGCTCTGCAATTCTTTGGCCATTACTGGCCTACATTCCATTCACTATGTAACGTTTGTTGCACTGTGTTCTTCTTAAAATGGACAGAGCTTTTACTCCATGTGAAATGCGCTATTCTTGTTTCAAAAAGGTGGTACAGAGATCATTTGTTCTTGATTAAACCAAGGACAAAGGGGATATCTTGTAACATAGCAAATGTGTTTCGTCAAAAGAACTTTAAAATATTTTGTTCTAATACTTCAGCCAAATGTTAGTACAATAGCAAAGGCTTTTTTCCTAAATATTTCTGTGTATCAATTTTTTTAACTTTTAAGTGAATATTAACGGGAAGAACTGAACTATGATTCATGCTGTGGGGGTGGGGTGTAGTGTTACGGGGGTGGGGGGAAGGGTCTGGTGAAGCAGTAAATGTACAGTATACAGACTTGAGTGAAATAATGGATGTGGCAGCCACCCCAAGGCATTTTTCTTCTTACTGTTATATTAGAATAAAACAAAGCTGGATGCCTGCCAGAACCTAAAGCTGTGTTTTATCTGCTACAATTTCCCCCTAATTTCCTTTGTAGACAAAAGTTTTGACCTCAGACCCATTTCTGGAAATACTTGGGGTGGTATAGCTCAAGTTAATGCATCAGATAGAGTTCATATGGTATAACTGAAATGTCCTTGGTTGTTTTTTTTGGGGGGGGGAGGGTAGATGAATGGGAGGTGGAAGGTATTTCTGTGTTATATCTGTGCCTTTGTTGTCGTCTTAATTTCTTTTTTTCCCTGAGTTTTAGGAAAGATGTTATTGTATCAAATGAGCCTTTAATTTTGGGCTCTGTTTCTGCTTTGTGTTTGCATGTCAGTAAGTTTTTCATGGCTTTGCTAATGCTTTCACTTTTCTTCTGAGGGAAGAGGTGATCTCCTTTCTATTGTCTCCACATCCTTTAGATACACTTTAAATACTAATGCAGTCAGGTATTTTGTGCTGAACTGACTTTTTTCCTAAATCTGAAAAAGACAAACATAATCCATAATTACCGTTAAGCATATTTTTATGAAGACTTCTTCCTCTGCCTTCCAAGATCTACTCCTACGTGACTGGGCACATACCAAATGCAACTGACTTCTCTGTGGCCTTGTCAGGATCTTGGTGTTTTTTCCACAGTCTTTATGAAAGATTGCCCTTTCCCCTCAGTTTTGCCTAGCATGGTTCTTTCCTGAATCTCTTTCAAGGGTGTCCTTTAGTCCCACTCCATACCACAAAAGCTCCTATGATTTTCCCCCTCTTCCCTCTCCAAAAAAAGAAAAAAGAAATAAAGAAAAGTAGAGTTGCTTTGGGAGCCTTAACTTTGGATGATAGGGTGAAAAGCAATGGGCTTAAATTGTAGCAAGGAAGGTTTAGGTTGGACATTAGGAAAAGCTTCCTGTCAGAGTGGTTAAGCACTGGAATAAATTGCTTAGGAATGTTGTACAGTCTCCATCATTGGAGATATTTAAGAGCAGGTTAGATAAACATCTATCAAGGATGATCTAGATGGTGCTTAGTCCTGCCATGAGGGCAGGAGAGTGGACTAGACGACTTTTCAAGTTCCCTTCCAGTTCTAGTATTCCCTGATTCTGTGTTGCATCACGGTGGTGCAGAACAATGTAACGGTATCTGGTGTGTCATCGTCTTCAGGAGCATGTGAGGAATTCAGCATCTCATCCGTGGTACAAGAACACCAGATTAAGATGTACGATGGTGGCATTTCAAAGGACTCCAGTGCAAAATGATTTCATAATAAGTTGTGCTTATGGAATTGACCTGAAAAATTAGATGAATCAAAAATACTAGTACAGATGCAAGTCTTGTTTTGGGTTAAGTGTACACTGCTGTGCTTGTGCTGTAACTGTCCATGGATAGAAATTTATAACTTGAGTTTGAGACAGAAGGAAATTGGAATCCATGTTAGGGATGTAAAAGGGTAACTGGTTTCCCACTTAGGAGCCAGCAGCGTCATGGGGCAGCGTCTGGCAGCTAAGCCCTGTAGTTAACTATGTAACTAATAGAATTTTGATTGGTTAATATTTTTTTTACATCCCTAATCCATGTATTTTCAGAATGTATACTTTCTGAATCTTCTATCCCTTAAGTCAAGTAGTTGTCAGATCAGTGCAGTGTTGTCTCTGTAAACTATAACATGGTTTGGTGCAGGGGGAAGGGGAACTGGGACAGGAGAGGGAAAGAACAGACGCACTTTGAGGTGTATTCTTTAAGCTGTACCCTGGCATATGTCTTGCCAATTAATGAATAACTAGATCGGCATGTTGGATATAATGTACTCCTGATGCCCCAGTTCTTTGTATGTTTTGATGAGAACTTTCTTGATGTATTGAACTAGGAAAAAATGTCCCTGTACATAATCAACAGGATTGTTTCTTCTTGAAATAATAAATAGTTAAAGCATTAATATTGGGTTGTACTAAACTTTTTAAAGCAAAAAGCCAATTTTGGGGGGCTTCAGCTATGTGCTAAAATGAATTAAAAGGAAAACCTCACTTGAGTGACGCAGTGTGTATAAATAGAGAGGAGAGGCATGACTGGAGCATGGGACTGGGAGCCAGCAACTCTCTGATTCTAATTCTGACTCCTTTGGTGGCCTCTGGTGAATCACTTAATCTGATCTTAAAGGTGGGGAAACTAAAATGAAGCGGATTATATTTAGCTACCTCCTGGTGATGTTGACGATTGACTGATAATCTGTAAAACATTTTGAAGATTAAAAATGTTGATTTGCATAAACTATGTGATTTTTAAATCAAAGTAGTAATTGGAGGGAGATCAAGCATCAAAATCATGTAGGAGTTCAGATCCCATGATATTAGGTAGATAATGGGAACATGAATAGAATGGAACCGAATTGAATCCAATCTGGAAACACTCATTTTCTCATAAAAGCAGTTGTGCCATTGTAGGTTCTACTTCAAGATGAATGTCTTACCAGTGCCCCGCTGTACGCATTTTTGTGTCCCTGCACTGGACTGATGACTGGAGAATGTTGCAGTATCCATTGGGCCCACACATGTACTGTTCTCGTCAGTACCTTCTCAACCATCTCTCTCTAGAGATGGAGTCTTAGCTGCCCATGTGTGGATCATTAATGCTTACTTTGCTAAATGTAACTTCCTTCAAAGGTTCTTTTGTTTCTTTCCTCATTACTTTGCTAAATGTAACTTCCTTCAAAGGTTCTTTTGTTTCTTCCCTCATTCTGTTTTTCTAAAAAAAACAAACAAACAAACAAACAAACAAAAAAAAAACACAACCCACCACATTGTGTTCTTCTGTCAACCTCCAGTGCGGAGAGGGGAAGGAGGGAGCACAAGGGTACGCCTGGCTGTCTGGGGTTTTGAGAAGTGTCCCACTTGCACCTGATCACCGAAAATTACTCCTAGTGCATCTACTGCCTCAGTGAAGGCCACATCCAGTAGAAGTGTTCTCTTGGCCAGCAGCTCTGCCTAAGATCCCACAAGAACAGAGAGTGCCTCCAAAACACCATCTTTACGGAGGCAGCTCTCTGATGAGCATGAGTTTTCCCCTTAACCTTAGACTTAGAAGCATTGGGGGAGAGGGGGTGTCAAAGACATGCATTGGGGACTCCTCTCTCAGGTCAAAAAAAGAGTGGCAATTCTCTTTGGAGAGCTCGGTGTTTACTGCCAGCGATTGCATCTCGCTTGGTATCATTGGTGCTACCAGCTCTGGGCCCACAATCCAGCACACATGCCTCATGGTGACCATTGGTACCCTGTACTGCTCATGGGCCCATCGACCCTTTGGGCACTAGCACTGTTCCACAAGATCGATCTCCTCATCTGTTGCCTTCTGTAAGAATGTCCCTATTGCAGCTATCTGCAGAGTGGTGACATGGGTGCCTGCCCATGTCTTCGCAGGACACTGTGCAATCATTGGGGGACTCCATCTCTGATGCCATCTTTGGTGTAACAGTAATATCATCGGTGGCTGAGCCAACTCCCAAGTCCTCACCCTCCAAAAAGGTGCGATTTGGTATTCACCTACAACCGGGCACGCAAAGAGATGCTTCTTGAAGAAGTTGTTAGTCACCTTGTGCAGTGAGCATGATTCTTCAAGATGTGTGTCTCAATGGATGCTCTAATCCATCTTCCTTCCTTCTGTGTTGGACTGTTCTGATTTATGAGAAGGAAAGAGGGCAGCTAGTCACACACTAATTAGCTTTATGGCACAGGACAAGGAAAGACCATGCATGCATGAACCCAGCGGGCCCTGCTACTGAAGTTCGCCGATCAGTAGTGCAGGGACACAGACGTGCAGCCACAGGGACACACATCTTGAAGTACCTTTGTTACTCCACAAGGTGAGTGACTGCTTGTTGTGCAATGATGATATCTGCTTGCACAAATTAGGCATGTTTTTGTCCCTCTGGGTGTATGCCTGAGTGCTTGAAATTCAGGCCTTGGGAATTCTACAGTTGGCCACTCTCCTGTCTCATTTGAAAGGTTCACAGCTCCATATCAAGTGGTTCTAGCTATTGAATCACTTGTTTGACTGTTGCTGTCCATGAGGGTTAAAAAGGCCTATAACATTTTCAGTCCCCAGTGAAGGAATATTCTGTGCACTCGCTTCCCTTGCCAGTGTAATTAGACTTTTCTGTTTTTCTGGCATTCTGCTACATTCACATTCTTGTGGCTGCAGGAGTTGGCTCGGCACTCAGAGCTGGTGGTGGGGAAGCAGCACACCAAAAACAAACACTATTGCAGCATCGTGTAAGAGAGGATGAAAAAACTCATCAGAATGCAGATGCAGGAAACTCATTAGAATAATAGCCTACTGTTTGTTTTTCTTTAAGTTGTAAGGTGGCAAGTTTATATGGCTTCAGAATGTAATGCTCACTTTGTTTATTAAAGCCAAAATTTTTCCTGCTCTAGGATGACGGAAACGTAAGGATATCCTCTCCTGTTGGAAGAGTAATGTTTCTTAGACTGCATCCTCTCTCATCTCAGCAACACATTTCTAGCTGTACTCTGGCTTCTATGTGCTCCCTTGTCAATTGCTTAACTGGGTTTGTGTGGTGGATACCCACTGGACTGTGGACAGAGGAGGGAGTTAGTTTAAAGGCAGTTTAATGCCTTTAGGGGGAGGGATAGCTTAGTGGTTTGAGCTTTGGCCTGCTAAACCCAGGGTTGTGAGCTCAATCGTTGAGGAGGCCATTTGGGGCAAAAATCTGTCAGGGATGGTATTAGGTCCTGCTGTGAAGGCAGGGGACTAGACTTGGTGACCTTTCAAGGTCCCTTTCAGTTCTAGGAGATAGGCAATCTCCATTCATTGCTTTCCTCCCCCCCCAACCCCCAATGGCTGGAAAATGCCATTATCTTTGGATTTTTTGTGGAGAATTCTGTAGGGCTTTTTAGGGTAGGGGGGGGGGTGTTTTCTTTTTTGTTTCCCCATCACTTTTTCAGTCCAAGGTATCCCAGACTTCATTATGCACCTTTGACCAGGAAATCCACAAAGTATATGAGACTTGAGAGCACAACAACCTACATGAACAATCCTACACCTGGAATATTGCCCGCAAAGGTGGTGTGTGGGTCATGTAAGCTTAATGGAGTGGAAAGAGTCATTTTTTGAAGGTCGTTAGAGGGCTTTGGAAGGAATTCTGTGATTGGGAGGAGACCGAGAATGACTTAGATTTGTATAGGACAGCTGGTTTGATGCATCTCTTACAAATAAGTAAATCAGCACTTAGAAAATGCAGTTGAAAATCATCAGAAGGCTTCCATATTATGTCCATTTAATTACTCCTTGAGTTGCTGTATATTTTTTTTTAATCCAAAGTGATCTTTGTGCTGGAGTGGTGCTTTATTGACTTGGGCCATGTCTAAGCAGAGGTTTGTGCCATGGTGTTGGTGTAGCTCCAACTCAGGATCATAGGTAGTCTACACTAGGGCTTCTGTCATTGCTAAGGGTGGTGGAAATTCATCTGTGGAATAGCCTTGATGGGAAAATGTCACAAAAATCACAGTAGAGACAAGACACTAGAGACTAGAGCCAAACTTTTTTTCAAATATGGCAAGTAATTTGGGGTATTCCTGTTTCTCGGTACTCAGCTTCAGATGCTTTAAAGAGACTTTATTTTTCAGAAAGTGCTGAGGGATTTACCTGACCTCTAAACACCAGACTTGTTTAAGATGTTTCCAGTGAGGTATTCCAGATTAGTAACCACATTTGAAAATCTTGGCCTTAACCTCCGTTGTCTGTAGCAGTGTTTCTCAAACTGTGCTCCGCAGAGCCCCAGGGCTCAGCGAGACCTCTCTAGGGGCTTTGTGAGGCTGACAAACTGGAAACATCGATAGGTACAACACATACAGTCAGTGGACTGCTGGGTCTCTGCATAAATTTTTACGCATGTAAAGGGCTCTGGAGCCCAAAAAGTTTGAGAACCGCTGGTCTATAGCATGGGTTTTGTGACTGACATTTGCATGGAGACAAGCTGCATATACCAACTGGATTCTAATTTTTGTTATTAGTGAGCTGGGCTGCATTTGAACTCCTGACTTGGATATTTCAGGTCCTCTATTATTCTCCTGAGCCATCTAGAATGCTATAGGTTTTACCTTAATTTTTTTTTTGGGGGGGGGGAGGAGGAAAAGGAGACTTCAAAGGCGGTTTTTATTCTTGTATGTAGTGTTGATGCTATGCACACAG